GCCTTCAGGAGGCAGCAGAGTTGGGCAGAAATGCTGCCACCATGCTTCAGTGGCTCCCCACCCACGTTCACTGTCAGGCAGGACTGACGTCCTGGGACCTCAGCTTGTGCATGACCCACCTGGATAGGCTCAGGACGGGTGAGGGAGCACACTGCCAAGAAAGGCAGCTGAGGGGGGTGCCTACGAGCAGAGCTGAAACACGGGAAGAGTGCAGCCACGAGGGCTCAGGCAGAGCCCCGTTTGGGGTCCATGGCCCCAGGTGGAGGCCAAGGTGGGACAAGGTCACGGGGACGCCTTCACGTGGCGAGGAGGGGAGCCTCGCCACAATCTGTTCTCATCTTCGAGACCGAGAAGCTGAGGCCCAGAGATCGGCTTGTCCAAAATCAACCAGCGGTTAGGAAATCTGCGGGGTTCCTGTTTCTAATAAGGGCCGCCGGAGCACCAGGTTCCACGCTCAGTGAAATTCACTGAAAATCATGGACAAAATGTGTAAGGCGTCACTAAAATGCAGCAGCCACTGATTGGCTCCGCTGGCCAAAGGCAGGTCAATCCGTGGATGACCCATCCCTGGGCTGACGGTGCAGCGTCTCTCACGCTGAGTCACGACCACGGGGAGGTGACACCCTACCCTGGCGTCACCTTTTGATGTCCCCAGCCTCTCTATCTGGAGGCCAAGTAAGGCAGGGGACAACCAGACGGCCGGCGTGCTGTAGTAAGAACACCAAATGGGGGCAGAATAGACCCAGGTTCGTTGCCCCCGCTTTGCCCCTCTCGGCTCTCTCTCTCCTTTGTTATCAAGAAGACGGTTTTGAGTAGATAATCTCTGAATTCTCTCTAAATCATAGAACCTGGGATTCCGCTTTCTCCGCGAGCAGTGAGTTGCTTCAAGTTCAAGGGCCCACATCCCCTTGTCGCAAGGTAGCTGAGCAGTGGGGACAGTATGAGCAGGGGCCGGCCCGTCGCTGGAGCTGGCTGCTGGGTGGGACCTCTGCCAGGTTTCTGAGTCAGCTGGGAGCCCTGTCTGGACAGGTTCCGGCCGACTGGCCCACACTCTGGGCCTATGTGCCCCTAGCAGAGGTCGACCCTGGAGCAAAAGAGGTGGCTGGTCCCACCTCTCTCTCCTCACCTCCTGCCCTGGGCCACGACACTGCTTGTGGCTCGGGAAAAAAGCCTTCCTCATCCTTCTTCCTGCTGCTCGAAGCTGCCAATTTCAGGCCTACATCCTCTCATGCCCTGGAAGAGATCCCACGTCAGCCGGCTCAGCTCTCCCTCTAATTGCCCCTAGAGAGAACTTTCTCTTCCCCCTCCCAGGCACTGCCCGAGTTTAGCCATTGTTGTCTTTCTGCTGGGGTTCTGCAGCTCCTACCGGACCTTAGGATTCGGGTTTTGAGTCGCCTCCACCGTGGCCGGTGGGGTGTCCTGCCTTGTGGCCCCGTCACCGAGCTGAGAAGCCAGGTCCTCCCCAGAATGAAAAGCGTGGAGGCAGTGGAAAGCCACGCCTTTGGGCTAGAAGGGCCACCGTTCACTTTCCTGCTCAGCCTCTCAGTTGCTTGCTGCGTGCCCTTGGACATGTCATTTCTTTTCTGTTTTTTTTCCATTTATAGGCATGGTGATGGCTTTTATAATGTGTCACCTTAGCTAAGCCGAACTGCATTTCTCAGCGCTCCCTTCTCTCTAGGGTCCTGGGTTAGCACTGGCCACAGGGGAAATGTGTGCAAGATTTGGAAGGTCCAAGTAAAAATGCAGCTGTTCTGTTCCACTCCGAAGGCGATGGAGGGCAGTCCCGCCAGCACGGGAGCTCTGGCCCCTCATTCCCTACGGTTCACAGAGGTTCTCCTGCTCTGATCAAACCCTGCCAGATACTCTGGGACAGACACCCTCCCCGGCACTGGAGACAGGGAAATAAACAAACCATCCTCCTTCTGCCTCTTAGATTTCCCGTCTGTACAAGGGGGAGGAAGGGTAATGAAATTAAGAGAGAGTCCCAACTTCTCTGTCAAATATCTGACCAGACAGGCCCCCAGTGGAAGGCACATGGAACCACCTGTTTGTTGCAAACCCTACGGGTTTAGGGACCCCTGCCCCTGGGATGAGCTTAGTGAGTCGGGGCACCCCACCAGAAGCCAGGCTTTGGTGACCTTGAGGTATGTCTGCTCAGGGCTGAAAACAGAGACCTTTGGGCTCTGTTGGCCCAGCCAAACAGCCACGTTATTTTTCTTTAATCCTTAGGTCAAAGACCTTCCACGTCATGTGTGGGAGGCAGGAGGAACGCAGCCTCTGTACCTTCCTTGTCAAACTACTGGTGGCGAAGGACCAGCTTTAAAAACAAAACGAAACAAAACAAAAAACTCCCATTCATCACAGATCGACACTTTCATAAAATACAATAAAAAGGAATCATTAGAAAAATTAAAGCACAAAAAACTAACATAATAACCAAGGCCAGATTTTTTATTAGTAGAGTTAGTAGATATAAAACTTCTCCATGGGGGCGCCCAGGCGGCTCAGCCAGTTGAACGTCTGACTTCGGCTCATGTCATGATCTCATAGTTCGTGAGTTCGAGCCCCGCCTATGGTTCTCTGCTGTCAGCCCAGAGCCCCATTCTGATTCTCTGTCCAGCCCCCTCCTCTGCCCCTCCCCCGATCATGTTGTTTCTCTCTCTCTCTCAAGAATAAACATTAAAAAAAAAAGTTAAAAAAAGAAACAAATTTCTCCACGAAGCCACTATAAATATTTCTAAATGCTTACTCTCAATTCCTACACTTAACTTCTGTGCCCCACGGGTAGCAAATAGGTTCCAACATGGGGCTGTCACTTCGAGGAGGTCTGTCACGCCTGAAAGACCAGGGGCGTCCCGCACCACTGCTCAGACTCCTTGCTCTTTTGGTCCAGAACAAAACAAACCGCCCTGGGAACCACTCACGCTGTGACCTTGCTTCCAGCCCCGCCCTCTCCGGGTCCTGGTGTCTCATCTGTAAAACGGGGTGCCGTTGGAATCGTAAGGTGCTGCTCGTCAGCGAGGGCATGCCGTGACCTCTCTGGTGTGTGGGCAAGGCCGGCTGGGCCTAAGCTGGATTCAGCTGCAGCCGCTGCTCTGGCATGTGGGGAAAGGGCTCTCACGGGAGCACATCTGGGGAGTCCTGAGGCAGACACAGAGCTGTGGAGACGCTGGCGTCTTGCTTCGTGTGGCTTCGGGCTTGTCTTCCTGAGATCTCTCCGAAACTAAGGGCACATGTGCCATTGGGCCCGAGACACAGCAGGACACGGAGAGAGGATGGGCACATCCAGCCTTTCGGAGACAGAGCAGGGTTGCGGTGGGGAGGCGTGCAGGGAACCCCATGGGTTCAGCTCCTTGAGGCTTCTGCTGTCTGGTGAGTATGGGAAGACGGGAAGGTGACCTTGGGAAGCACACGGCGTCCTGTGGCATTGGCAGGGCAGGGGCGGGGAGCAAGGCCGGTTCTTCCAAGAAACAAAAGTGGACATGTTGGTCAGACACGTAAGATGCCCCCCCCCGAGGACCCCGTAGGAACTGGGGAAGATTTCTGATTTCTGGCATGCATGCTCAGTGGGGCAGGATCACCCCCAACGGGACCAAAATTGCTTCTTGGGAGGCGAAAAGAATCTCGCTTTTTCTATACATAAACACAGATATGCATCCGGTAGGTAAACAGCTATCTGTGGCATTCAACTTTTTTTTTTTTAATTTTTTTTTTTTAACGTTTATTTATTTTTGAGACAGAGAGTGACAGAGCATGAACCAGGGAGGGGCAGAGAGAGAGGGAGACACAGAATCGGAAACAGGCTCCAGGCTCTGAGCCATCAGCCCAGAGCCCGATGCGGGGCTCGAACTCACGGACCGTGAGATCGTGACCTGAGCTGAAGTCGGAGGCTTAACCGACTGAGCCACCCAGGCGCCCCCGCGGCATTCAACTTTTAAGAGGGGTCATGATGGTGGGGGGTAGGCGTCTAAACTGGTTCGCAAGGGGGACAATAAAGAAGAAAGGGTTTGGGCACATTCACTCACGGGGTCTGATGTCCTATGTAGAAAGCTGCAGGGGCGCCCGGGTGGCTCAGTGGGTTGGACGTCCGACTTCGGCTCAGGTCATGATGTCACGGTCTGTGGGTTTGAGCCCTGTGTCGGGCTCTGTGCTGACAGCTCAGAGCCCGGAGCCTGCTTCAGATTCTGTGTCTCTCTCTCTCTCTGCCCTTTCCCTGATTCTGCTCTCTCTCTTTCTCTCAAAAACAAGTAAACATTAAAAAAATGCCCTAATGCCTCTCAAGCCAGACTACTGTGTCAGCCACCTCTGGTATTTTCCAGCCCCCGGGCTGCCCACTACTATTCTGTCCAAATGCCTCGGGAGTCACTCAAGGTCTAGCTGGTGGAGGGAGGGGGAGGGTGGAGGGTCACGATCCATACCAGCTCTGTGACCCTGGGCTTGCTATTGCCCCTCCCTGAGACTGTTATTTTAAAAACGGGAAAAGCATTCGTTTTCTGCCGCCTGTAGAGCTTTTCCGAGAAGATCAAATAAAGAAATGATCCCGTAAGCAACCCTTCTTTCCTCCCTCCCTAAAATAACAATCCTACATGCCAGGAACTTTCCTAGACATTGGGTACATTCCGGTAAACCGGGCAGGGTTAGTCCTTCCCTCAGGGGGGATCTCACAGTGTAGACCAGCACTGTCCATTAGCACGTCCCAGGATGATGGAACTTCGGTGGCTGCTAATCGCAGACAGCTACTGAGCCCTTAAAACATAACTGGTGTGACCGAAGATCTAAATCTTTCGTTTTGTTTCATTTTCACCAATTTATTTATTTATTTATTTATTTTTAACATTTATTTATTTTTGAGACAGAGAGAGACAGCATGAACGGGGGAGGCGCAGAGAGAGGGGGAGGGGCAGAGAGAGAGGGAGACACAGAATCGGAAGCAGGCTCCAGGCTCTGAGCCATCAGTCCAGAGCCCGACGCGGGGCTCGAACTCACGGACCGTGAGATGGTGACCTGAGCTGAAGTTGGACGCTCAACCGACTGAGCCATCCAGGCGCCCCCATCTTCACCGATTTAAATGGAAACAACCACACAGGGTTGGTGGCTACGGTGTGGGACAGCACAGGTACAGACACCTAGGGGTAAGGAAGACGTCAAAAACAAAGGGACGATTCCTCAGAAAATTAAGCGCAGAATGACCGCATGACCCAGCAATTCACTCCTAGGTACATGCCCAAAAGAACTGAAAATAGGTATTCGGACACATACTCGTACGTGAACTTTCATAGCAGCGAAATGGCCAGAAAGGAAAATTCATAGAGGCAGAAAGCAGACTCCCGGAGGCGGAAATGGGGAGTAACTGCTTAATGGCGTACGGGGTTTCCTTTTGGGAAGATGAAAATGTTTTGGAACTAGGGAGAGGGGATGGCTGTACAACATTGTAAATGTTCTTTTGGGGGGGGGGCACAGGTGAGTGAGAGGCACTGAGAGAGAGAGAGAGAGAGAGAGAGAGAGAGAATCCCAAGAGGGGCAGAGGGGGTGAGAGAGAGAGTTTTCACCCGAGATGGGGCTTGAGCTCACCCGATGTGGGACTCGAACTCACGAACTGTGAGATCATGACCTGAGCCGAAGTCAGATGAGCCACTCAGGCGCCCAACGTTGTATATGTTCTAAATGACATTCAATTGTACGCTTTACAGCGGTTAGCAGCATGTCGTGTGAATGAGACCTGACGGTGAGGACGGCGGGCAGGGGGCAGAGCGCTCTGGACAAAGGCACCAGCCAGACGAAGCCAGGCT